CATTAGGACTTTCAGATCTCACGCTGAATTTGCAGGATTGACAGAAGGGCAGACTTCTCCTTTTACAAGTTATGAGATAATCTGCTCTGAAAGTAATTGAGGCACATCACAACAACATTCTTAAAAGCCACTTTTCAAATTCGATCAGCACAAGAGAGTAAGTATAAGAACATAAGAATGGCCATACTGGGTCAGACCAAAGGTCCATCTAGCCCAGTACCCTCTCTTCCGACAGTGGCCAATGCCAGGTGCCCCAGAGGGAATGAACAGAACAGGTAATCATCAAGTGATCGCCTATTCCCAGCTTCTGGCAAACAGAGGCTAGGGACACCATCCTTGCCAATAGCCATTGATGGACCAATCCTTCATGAACTTATCTAGTTCTTTTTTGAACCCTGTTATAGTCTTGACCTTCACAACATCCTCTGGCAAGGAGTTCCACAGGTTGACTGTGCATTGTGTGAAGAAATACTTCCTTTTGTTTGTTTTAAATCTGCTGCCTATTAATTTCATTTGGTGATCTCTAGTTCTTGTGTTATGAGAAGGAGTAAATAACACTTCCTTATTTACTTTCTCCACACCAGTTATGATTTTATGGACCTCTATCATATCCTCCCCTTGTCATCTCTCTTTTCCAAGCTGAAAAGTCCCAGTCTTATTAATCTCTCCTCATATGGCAGCCATTCCATACCCCTAATCATTTTTGTTGCCCTTTTCTGAACCTTTTCCAATTCCAATATATCTTTTTTGAGATGGCACACAGCATTCAATATGTGGCCATACCATGGATTTAGATACAGGCAATGATATTTTCTCTTATTATCTATCCCTTTCTTAATGATTCTCAACATTCTGTTCGCTTTTTTGATTGCCGCTGCACACTGAGTGACTGTTTTCACAGCACTATCCACAGTGACTTCAATACCTCTTTCTTGAGAGGTAACAGCTAATTTAGACCCCATCATTTTATGTGCATAATTGGGATTATGTTTTCCAATGACTGGAAGATAGCTAATGTGACATCGATATTTTAAAAAGCCTCTAGAGATGATCCTGGCAATTACAGGCCAGTAAATCTAACTTCACTAACAGGCAAATAGGTTGAAACTACAGTAAAGAAGAGAATCATCATACACACAGATGAACACGATATGTTGGGGAACAATTATTTGAGGGGGTCAACAAGCATGTGGACAAGACGGATCCAGTGGATATAGTGTACTTTGACATTCAGAAAGCCTTTGACGTGGTTCTTTGCCCAAGGCTCTTAAGCAAAGACAGTGACAGATAAGTAACTCGTTACAAGACAGGAGACAAAGGGTAGGAATAGACAGTCCATTTTTACAGTGGAGAGCAGAAAATAGCACGGTCCCCCAAAGATTTGTAGTGGTACCAGTGCTGTTCAACATATTCATAAATGATCTGGAAAAAGGGATAACAGTGAGATGGCGAAGTTTGCAGAGGATACAAAATTACTCAAGATTGCAGTCTGCTTTTGACATAACTAAGAGTTACAAAGGGATCTCACAAAACTGGGTGACTGGGCAACAAAATGGCAGAGGAAATTCAATGTTGATAAATGCGAAGTAATGCATGTTGAAAAACATAATCCCACCTATACATATAAAACAATGGGGTTTAATTTAGCTGTTACCACTCAAGAGAGAGATCTTGGAGTCATTGTGGATAGGTCTCTGAAAACATCCACTCAATGTGCTGCAGCAGTCAAAAAAGCTAACAGTTAGGAACCATTAGGAAAGGGAATATCATAATGCCACTATATAAATCCATGGTACGTCCATACCTTGAATATTTCATACAGTTCTGGTTGCCCGGTCTCAAAAAAGATATTCGAATTGGAAAAAACACAGAGAATGGCAATAAAAATGATTAGGGGTATGGAACAACTTCAATATCAGGAGAGATTAAAAAGACTGACTGCTCAGCTGGAAGAGAGACGACAGAGAAGGATGCGATAAAGGTCTATAAAATCATGAATGGTGTAGAGCAGGGGTCGGCAACCTTTCGGAAGTGGTGTGCTGAGTCTTCATTTATTCACTCTAATTTAAGGTTTTACGTGCCAGTAATATGTTTTAACGTTTTTAGAAGGTCTCTTTCTATAAGTCTATAATATATAACTAAACTATTGTTGTATGTAAAGTAAATAAGGATTTTAAAATGTTTAAGAAGCTTCATTTAAAATTAAATTAAAATGCAGAGCCCCCTGGACCGGTGGCCAGGACCCGGGCAGCTTGAGTGCCACTGAAAATCAGCTCACGTGCCGACTTCGGCACGCGTGCAATAGGTTGCCTACCCCTGGTGTAGAGAAAGCAAATAGGGAAGTGTTATTTACCCTTTCATATAAGACAAGAACCAGGTGTCACCCAATGAAATTAATAGGCAGCAGGTTTAAAACAGACATAAAGGAAGTAATACTTCACACAATGCATCCTGCGGAACTCATTGCCAGTGGATGTTGTGAAGGCCAAAAGTAGAACTGGGTTCAAAAAAGAACAAGATAAGTTCATGGGGAATAGGTACAGCAACAGCTATTAGCCAAGATCGTCATGTATGCAACCCCATGCTCTGGGTGTCCCTAAACCTCTGATCACTAGAAGCTGGGACTGGATGATACGGGATGGATCACTTGATAAATTGGCCTGTTCATTCCCTCTGAAGCACCTGACACCAGCCACTGTCAGAAGGCAGAATACTGGGCTAGTTGGAGCATTGGTCTGACCCAGTATGGCTGTTCTTACATTCTTAAGAAATTGTGGCTTTGGGCAAGTGAAGCTGTTAAAGGGAAGAGGGTGTGGTGCTTGGGTGCAGCTTCTCAGTGGGGATTAACAGTGGTTTAGCTTCTCAGCTTCCCCTGAACTGCACTCTGATCATGAAAGAGTGTTAGAAGCCATCTAAGCTCTGTGAGCAGTAGGGACCATGGGTTCCAATGCCACTGGCTCTCCATTACCTTTAAATGATGCTTCCCTGTGGTAGAGTGGGCAGGGGAGGACTGAGGAACTCAAACGGAGCAGCAGGAGGGAATAGTAGCTTCTGTATTCCTGCAATTTTGCTCAAACTCTCCCAGCCACTCCCTGACAACTCACCTTTGGCTAAGGATCCTCAAAGTATGAAAAGCAATGTGCCAGAATATGGTGGAACTTCACATTTGGACAGTAAGATTTGTCCTTTAGAGCCCCAAATAAAGAAGACTCCACCAGCCATTCCCTATGAGCCTTCCCCTCCATGTGCTTTAAAGCTGAGTTTACTTTAGAATAAGCATTTGCAAAGTATACTTTTAAGAACTGAATTCAGCGTCTCCTAGCTGAGACATTTATGGAAACTTACTGATGATGGCTTGCCTCTACTCCTCTCTAATGTACACCTCCTAAACTTCAATCTCACAAATATTCTGGTGCTCATTTGTTTTCTCTCCTTGATCCTGTAACTTTTTAATACTAAAATAGCATGTCAACAGGAAATATTTTATTAATCTGAAAACCCAGACACAAATTTATTGAAAACTATACATTAAAGAACAACTAATCAAATTAAGATACTGTCAAAAGCCATTAAACCGACCTAACAAATGTAGATGTTAAGATTATTAGCGCTGAAGTACAGGCAAAAGCATATTGCTAACAAAATAACTCAAGTACAGATAGTAATTAACACCTAATATACTTTCTGCAGTAACAGTGACCTTTTCTTGTTACAAGTTTTATACTTGTTGCATGTGCTCCCACTTCCTGGTTTGTCAGAACAGAAGCCTCATTCAATCTCAGGCATCTATCTAAAGCAAGCACAAAAAACTAAGACTACCACCAATATGTTCATGATCCATATTCAAGCAGATCCTAGAGGCCACAAGCAAAAGTAGAGCTCCATTGTAAAAATGTAATAAGAAAAACAGTTACACGCACACCCAACACTTGGGCACCCTATATAGTGCGAGTTAAACATTCGGGCAAAACTGGTCCAACTGTTTGCTTAATATGGTATTGAGAGTGCATTACAACATTGTGCTGTAGATTACTCAGAACAAGAAATCCATTCAGTTTTCAATATTGCTTGTTATGAACTATTAAAAACGTCTATGTTAAAACCACATGTGATGGTAGTGTAAAGATGCTCACTCTAAGATGGTAACATCCTGTAACAGAGAGAGATCTGATGATTAATATTACTGTTTTATTATATTGTTTCTCTAAACAAATGCTCACTGTTTTCATAATTGTTTTCTCTCTAATGTTTGCATGGCAAGAATTTGTAAACTTGTTAAAACTTCCTAAATAAATACTTGAATAAAGAATACAAGGTTTTGTTTTTTGTTTAAGCTACTGCTATTTTGAGCTGCAGAATCAATACGGCATCCATCTGGTTACTTTGTTAATTAAAAGGCCATGTGAACAACAACTTTTACTAATAATCAAAGTAAGTGTGATTGACACCTATATTTAAATAAAATAGCTTTCCCACCACCTTAGAATATGAAAATTCCATGCATAAATGGAAAGAAAAAGGATTATTCACTCACAGCCTTTAGCGACAGGCCCATAAACATTACACCTTCATGGAAAAGTTTTTAAAAAGACTTAACACGGTTTGCCATACTGTCTTTTTCAATTAAAAATGAACATGTTGAACAACAATGTATACTACATTACACTTTGATGTGTTTCTCAATTACTACTGGGAAAAGCTACAGCTTCCCTCAAGGCAAAAGAGATTGACACCTGTGTAGATTTTTTTTAAAAAGCTTAATTTATAATGCATAGACACATTACCTTTAACATCTGCAAAAGTTGTAAGCAGCAAAAAAGAGAATCTAGCCAGAATATATTAGTAAGTATTTCATAAGAATGTAAATAAGTGAAAAGAAGAGATTCAGAAAAGGAAATAATGCAAGTATGCCCAGAGTTTTTACTTGCTTCTCTTGCCTGTGTATTTTGTTACTTTCCCTTCCACCTCCAGAAAGAGCATTAGAAAGATGATCTACTTACCAGGTTAAATACAGTTTCTACAATATCCCTGTTGGATACTTCGCCAACTTCCACCAGTCCCGTCAGCACTGCAAATTTCATCCTGATGCCTCGGATAGGGATTCCTGGGTTCAAGGGCTGCAGCGTACTCCCCACTTCAGCAGCACTTCCTCCTTTCCCTCCTCCTCCACCATCACCTGTTGGCTGAAGAACCTGTTTGTCTTCACTAGCCATAGCTAGCTAAATTCAAATTATCACTAGCTGAGATGCCAGAGGCACAGCCGCCACAGCCAATGAGGAGTGATTTCAGTGGCAGGGAAAGGGTCTCTTGCTCACTCTCTCTTCAGGTCCAACTTGCGAAACACCCCAAGTACAGGGTGTGTGGAGAACGCTCGCCCAAACTTGGCTTTTCCTCAACAGCAGGGTTGGGTCAGCTGCCCCACTGCCCCGAGGCAGGTACGTAAAGCCCCGAAAGGCAACACGTCCAGTCGTTTGAAAGACCCTGCAAGGCAGACGTCCCCCCAAGTTACCAATGGCCCACCTCCTCCCCCGCCCCACAAAACAGGGACGGTAGTAGCCGAAGAGCAATTGCCTCTCCCCCGACCCGTAGAACTTGCACCCCCCCAGACAGCGCTGGGTTTCTAAAGGGGAGTCAAGGCGACGCGCCCCATGCCCGGCTCTATTCCTTCCATGCCTCCCGCTCCCAGGCTCCGACCTCCGCCGCAGCTGAGAGTGCAGAGCCCGCTGCCCCTTCGCCCGCTTGTGCACGCACAGGTGCAACGACAAACCGCTCAGGAAGGAAGTTCAGGCTCACCCAATACTCCTCCTCGCGTCTCGTGCGCCGCGGAGGGGGGGGGGGGTTAATGCCCGGCTGAGGGGCGGGGAGCGGGCTGCTCTGCTCTGCTGCCCCACTCGCGAGCCCTTGCGCCGCTAACCCCCCTGGCGGAGAAGCACCCGCCGCTCGCGGAGCGGGAAGGAGCTGAAAGTTTCAGCCGCCGCTGCCTCACCCTGCGGTCTCAATTAGCCCCATCTCTTCCTGCCTCGGCTGCAAACGCGGCTGCTCTCTGCCGCCATGACAGCACTGAGCCCCTGGAGAGCTGCCGGGCGAGGAGCCGTGCGCCTGCGCGGCCAGGCACTGGTAGGCGGGCGGGGCGCAGAGCTGGGCACAGGGGCCGGAGGCCGCGCACGCCCAGGTGAGCCCAGGTGTGCGCAGGTGAGCGGCGCGCGCAGCGGCCCGCCGCCCGGGCAGGAGCTCTAGTTGCAGGGGGAGGCGGTCGCTGGGCCGGAAGCAGCTGCACAGCAGCCACCTAATCCTGCTCCCCGCCCTGGCCCGGGATTAGCGGCTGGCGGAGTCGGCCGGGGAAAGCTCCCTCGTAGGGGATTCATTTTCAGTGTTTGTTTCTTGGTCGCCCAGACGCGTGTGAGGCGCCCCACGGACCCCGCAGCGTTGATTTACTTGATTTTCAGAGGTGATGCTGCGCTCCCATGGGACCGGGAGGCGCCCGCACCTGTGGAAAGCAGGCCGCTGCAGTGTCCCGAAGAGCAGAGGGAAGGGGTGCAGTGAGTCAGGAGAGGTGTGAAACCTGGCTCGCGAGTGCTGCTCCTTTCCCCTTTCTCTCCTTCTGTAATGCGCTCCCTCTTATCAGCTGTTTTTCTTTCCGATCCTCATCCCTAACTCCCTTCACTGTCTTCCTTTCTCACCACCTGGACTGAGGCTGCAATCCTGAAAAGAATCACCTAGCTTCAATCGGGCTCATATGTTTAAAGTTGAATGTGTGGGAGGTTGTGGGCCTACATATGGGTCAGGTTACTTGTGATCCAAGTGTATGTCAGATATACAAACTTTTGCAAAATCTTAGCCCTGCTTCTGTGATTAGAATTAAAACAATGGATACACTTTTGAAGAATTAAAAAAACTAAATAATTTGCCTGCTCTGTGCAAAGCCTGAAACTAACTAGAAAGAAAAGTGAAATCAACTGGTCTGTATCCTCTAGCCAATCTGAGAGAAATGCTACTAGTAAGCAGCATATTAAATAATAAATTTAGATTGTCTTTAATGATTTCAGCTCTCAATCACCTAATGTAGTAGCATATATCATTTAGAAATATGTATATGGCTTAATTCAACTCTGGATTACATCGACCTCTAACTTTTTTAAAATCAGCCTGAAGGGCAGTGATACAAGGCATCTGCAACCACTGTTTCAGCAGGATGGCCACAGCATGTCAGTGCAGTCCCAAATGCAGTAGAGTGACAGGTGAGAGGACATGATGAAGGCAACCAGGGGATACACAGGTTGAACCACATGCCCCAGAAAGGCTTTCTACAGCACCTGGAGGGGAATTCACCTGGGAATCCAAAATACTAGCTAGGCCCGGGACTGTTTAGTTTCTGACATCAGACAAGATTGGGTGCATTCAGTGTAGTGAACACATGCCCCAGCCTGACTGAAGTTTAAATCTGTCCTCCAAAAGCAGAGCCTCATGGAGTTTATATATATAAAAAATTTTGTTTTGTCCATTATCCAGTCCCCCTTTCCCACTGAACCTCACCCCCCAATCCCACATTATTACCCAGAAACCTATCCCCTTAAACATTTCTCCTCCCCCATTGATCTTCAGCCCCCTATTCATCCCAGGAACCTTCCCCTATCCCCCTTTATATATTCCCCTACCGAACCCAAATGCCCTAGTAGCTCGTTTTCCCTAAGGGCTAGAAGGCCCTGGGCAGGTGATTGGGTCTTGCCCCTAGGTGGGTGGAAGGCTCTGGGAGGGGGCATCAAGTTCTGTGCCTGGTGTGGGAGGCCCTGGGGCAGAGCTTTAAGGGGCGTGGGTGTCACAGAGCAACCTCACACTTCAGCAGCGGCTCCAGCAGCTTCTGTTCCGTGGAACTGGACCCAGCTCCAGGTATCCATAGAGTTGCAGTAGTGTTGAGGTGTGGCTCAGGCTCCTCTCCTTCATCATGAATGAGGGGCAGCTGGGCCAAATTTGAGTGAATAGCACTGCAACCCTCTATGCCAGATTGCATCACTGAGCACTCAAATTTGGCCTGGCTGCTCTGCTCCCATCAGGGAGCATTGTGACCCTGTGCACCAGATAACCATGCTCAGAGAGAGAGCCAGTCCTAGTCCCACAAGATAGAAGCTATCACTGTTAGGTGAATTTTTCATTTTATGTCTTTTTTTTAATGTTCTTTTTTATTCTGTGTTGTTTCACATTTGTGAAAAACACAGGGTTCTACCAGTAGAAGTGCTTCCATCATATATGGGGCAGGAAAGAGACTGAAGCCCAGATCCTCAAAAGTATGTATGCTCCTAACTTCCACTGAAATTAATCGAAGTTAGGAGCCTACATATCTTTGAGGATCTGGGCCTGAGCTGCTTATCCCATCCCAATCATTAGTTTGGTCATGTGTGAAATGAACGACACCACCTCTCCCATAGCAGCACTTCCTCAAGTAATCTGAATAAAAATATAGGTTGTATGATATGTAGGTTGTATGATTTTTCAGGTATATTTATTAAATTCAGGTAAAAAATTAGATGAAATAATGTAATAGTTATTGTTTTGTTTTTTCCTTCAGGTTATTTTTATAAAATAGTTTTAGGATGTTCCAGGTAAAATCTGATAATTTTACATAGAGGTTGAAAAGATACATTTCAAACACCTTCAAGTTGAGATTGCATCATTATTTGAATGTTCCACCATGTTGCTTTGTTCAGGTTATGGATTACAGTGATTTTTAAGCAACATTATTTATATGCAACATGCAAGAAGGAGAGCTGCTCAGTCCCTCTGTTCCACTCCCATTGAAGTCGGTGTCAAAACAAGGACTAGGACTGAACCCTAGCAGTTGGGGCAGGAACAAAGAAACTCCTTTTAGTTTGCAATTTGTCTGGCAGCTAGCATTAAAAACGTGAACCCTTCTGACGGGCCTGAGATGCAGTGGCACCGACACGCAGCCAATTTTTAAGAATCCCTTTTTCAGTGTAATTCCACAGTTGCCATATGGATTTTGGAGTTTGAAATAAGGAAGGAGGAGGGATTTAACCTAAAAAACAGAGAACCTAGTGCTCTTCAATCTATTTACACAGGTGGTGGTGAGCAAAGCTCAATGGAAACCTGTCTGTGATGCAGAAATAGTGGAGCAGTAGCTCCTACATGTTTCTTTCCTCTCCTTGGGAGCCCACAGAGCCTTTCCAGGGGCATTCTATGGGGTTGCAACTCTGTGGGTTGCAAAGAGCAAGACAGGAGTGGGACAGAACAGGAGAGCAGCCAGTGAATTTCTGCTGCAAAAATGAATGCTGGTGTAAGTTTTACAGCTTCTATTCCCCCTGGGAGATGAGGGTAGTACAGCTATAGATAGGAGTCAGACTCAGCCAATAGCGTCAGACATCACTCACTACTTAAAGGCAGTCATTTCTTGGGTGGGACATAATTATTATAATAGCAGCATTATACAATAGTCTAGAACAGGAAATGAAGAAAACCTTGTACAGTTGGTGTGACGAAAGCAATTTATTCTGAAAAACACTATTATCCAAGGTGGGAATTTGAACAGTCTTACCACTGGAAAAAAGCAACATAGGATCTTTAATAAAGGTGATTGATCAGGAGGACCTCAGTTTCAGCCTTCTGAAAGTTAGTTTGTATCTTTTCTTCATATGATTCTTTTATTTTTGAGGCAATGAGTGGAGAAGATTTGCTCCTCCCTTATGATTATGCTAAATAATAAACTGTCAATAGAAATGTTAAGTAATTGCATCTGTGTTAGGGTTTCAATATTGCCCATTACCATAGTCTGAGCACCTTTCATATAAAATTCATAGCAATAGTAAAGTCCCTAATGGATTTAAAGTAGTATCAGTCATGTCTCCTTTTTAGGGCTAAAAACTCTGCTTCAAGAAGGAATTTTGTTTTTGAATCTGTTTTGTATGTTGTTTTTTTGTTTGTTTTTGTTTTTGGTTGATTAGTTTCAGAATTTTGTTTTTTGTTTTGCTTGGTTGTGGTTTATTTGGTAGGAAGAGGTATCCATGTTGTCTCATTATTATGGTGAAAAGAAGAGGAAGGTTTTAAAATTTTATCCTAAAAGCTGTCAGATTCTGGATTTGCCTAATCTCCTCTGAATATATAATTGTCAGTGTAGATGTTGAAGCAAAACAAAAACAATCCAAGGCCTTGTCTACATGGAGCAGCAATGTGCTCTACAGTGGTGTGATTTCTGAAGGACATTAATGAGTTATGTAGACTCTGCTGATGTGCCCTAAAGGTTCCTTACTGTATTACATTAGCCTGCCCTAAGGACCTTTAGTGTGCACCAGCAGCGGCTATATGGACCAATTAATCCACAACACATCAGAGCACTTTAGAAATCACGCCTCTGAGGTACACATTGCTGCTCCGTGTACACAAGCCCCCAGTAAGTAAAGACAAAATCCATGTGTAGTTATTATTTACTCGTAACAATAGTTATAAGATAAGTTTATTTTATATTGCACAGTCACCTTATCTTTTTTCCTCTCTTCTGCTTCAGAGTTCAATTCTGGCTACCTGCTAGGAGAAGGGAAGTTCATTACATTTTGGAAGCATTTTTATATTATTTTTATTTGTTATTATATACATAAATTTGTACCCAACTTTAATATAAATGAAAATGGCAAACAAAATTAGCTATGTTGGCTGGAGTAAGGACTTCTACATGTTCATAATATTCAGAAAAACATGTATTACGAGTAACTTTGTTTAAGATATTAGTCATGTATATAGCAGTATGATGTTGGCTTTATCCAACAGCTGTCCCCACCTAAGGGTGGGTAAGTACTAGAGCTCTGAGCTATTTCTGAAATAATCTTGGGAGGAGTTATTTCTAATTTTGTTCTTACTAGCAAGCAGCATGGAGATAGATGTATCCTTTTGGACTATTAATAACCTCTTAGTAAGTGTTATGTCTGACTACTTATTAATACTTGTGGTCTCATTTGGAATAATACTAGAGAAATAACATTTTCTTTGCTCTTTAATGGTAGTTTTTAAAGGCAGTCTCCCTATGTAGCTGTTTGGCAGTAGTTTCTGCTTTCGTTACCTAACCTACATTGTGCTTCAATTTCTTTCCATGATCTTAATGTGTTTTTTCTTTCAACTTTTCCTTATATATGTAATTTTTATTGGTTTTACATAGTGTATATCTGCATTCATCAGAATTACAATCAAACATCTTTAAGAATGTTGCAGTTTGCAGAGG